ATGGGGGAAGACAAATAGCACTATACAGCAGTTCTGCTTCCCTATCTAACACCTAGACTAAAACTCCTTGTGGGTTGTAATAACGTGTAACTCACAAGCTTTACTTCAAAGGTTACAGAAGTGATGAGGAGAAAAAGACACATGAATTTTGCATGCAGTTTGAGTACACACACTAGTGGCAGTGATAATGTTCAGCAGAGTTTGACATGAATTCGCAATAAATCCTATCCCGATCCACAGCCTACACCACATCAACATCCACTTTTTGCTAAGTGCTGTCAATGTTAATGACATAGAGAAAACACACCGAGATAGCATCTCATTCACAATTACACTTGGCGCCAGCAGACCCACTGTCATCTTGAAAACATCATGGCACAAATGTGGAGTGACATTAACACAGAGAGTGCAGTGAATACACTGAACCCAGGGAATTCTAAAGAGTAAGGCTAATATTATTGCTGCACATTGCGGCTTGAGCTATTTAATTGTTCATCTGTTAAGCTATAATGACACTGTTTTCAAAGCATGCGAACAAGGTGAAGATGGTTCAATAAGAGTGGGGCTTCTAAATTCAGGTCAAATGATGAATTACACATAGTACACCAGTCAACACTGGTAACTATCAAAATATTGGCAAGCTCCTATTGTGTGCAGAAAGTCTTACTTTGTACTGAGGATGCTAATGAGACAGAAATTGTAGTTAAAAACAGCTTTGGATGAAGCCAATACGAATAGGTAGGGTTTTATACAATAGAGAAAATTACATTCCCAAGTCTTTTTTCCCCAGTGAATAGATTTAAAACTACACATTGTTCAGACTTAAGTCTTTTCTTCCTTTGAAAGCACCAAGTGTCTCATAACCCTCCAGTTGCCTCTGTTGTTGCTCATCAGCAGAGGTATCTTTACTTTCAATTGTGTGCGGGTCATGAATTCATTTTAAGGAATAGTACTCCGTACTAAGACAGGGTATATTTACTGTAGAATAAAACCAGCCTGTCCAGCAACAACTGAGCTTATTCAAAACTCACTTTCAAATCAACTAGCAAAGAGCAGATCGTGTCATGCACAATACGAGCGCCTGCACATAAGTAGAGTTATAGACTGGTGTCACAAAAATGTTTTTTTTGAAGTCACTGGAGCATTTGACTACCTGCTTCCTATTACTACTTATGGGCTGACACGCATACCTTTGTGCAGTTCATCGGATAGTGCAACTGAATCAATTTCCACAGCATAATTACAATCTTTTCAAGAGCTGAAGCTCCGCACCGACAGGCTACTGATGAAAAGGCAAAGCCTCATCTTCTCCTCCATTTGTCAGGATAGACACATCAACTTCAGGTCTAAAGTTCAGCGAGGCATCTATGCTGATTTTAATGACAGTTTCTTCAGAAAACACCCCCCCCCCCACCAGTACAAATATAGCTGGAGAAAAAAAAATCCCACACTGTAATACAGGGACCACATAAGACAGAGCCTGAACCTAAACATCTTCATGTGTAGAAATGACAACACTGAATTCCCAGATTTGCAGGATTCCCTCCACCCTCCCTTCCTGAATAAAATCAAGCAACTCACACCGATTTAGAAGTATGAGATGAAAAGCATTAGAACTTGAGGGGAAAAAAGGGCGAGTCGAAGCCAAGTATCCAAATGGGTAGTGAACAGAATTCAGAGCTGTGGTGGTGTGAGGACATCGCGAGAGCTGGCGTGAAGCAGACAGGACAGTCAGACTGTGGTACTGTAGGTGAAGCTAGCCATCTGAACACAGGAAGCAGCAGAGGTGACATCCAAGTTACAGTACACAGCCAGCTGCCAGGCTGCACTGATGCCTCTGCTCGGCGCCTCCTCTTCCACCCAGCCCTTGCATTTTAACATCCGATCATTCTGGACAGTTCCGCACATGTGGAATAGGCCACAGGATATGTCAATATTGACAAACATCTCTCCGTGGAGGAGAAAAATGACTGTGATGCAAAGGGACTTTCACACACCTTCGCCTCCTCAAGAGCACACATTACTCACTGAAGAGCAAAAAACATGTTCATTGTGTCCAGGAGGACTAAGCTGTAAGTCCAGGATTTAACATAAAAAGAAGTGTAGGAGTGGCAGGTTACTGCAGCTATGAGACTTGAGACAGTCAGGCAAAACACACAAGAACACCTACTTTGTGGCCGGAGAGAGGATTAATTTGGAAAGACAGCTCTGTACAAATAACCCAAGAAACGATTACGTTTGTTGAAAGTGCACCATACTTCCCTACATAAAGCACATAAAGAAATTTCAATTCACCCTCTGTCAACTTCAAATAAATGGAAGCCTCCATAGGTTATTTGAAACACCAGGTCAGAACTGGAATGAAAAGAGCATTTCTAATCATACCTGGGGGGCCCTTTCTTCACTATTTGGAATAAATCTAGAAAACACAGTTACGACTGTTTATTTGAATCAAGGTAAATGCAAGTTTGCAGGATGAATGATAAGCCACTTTGTGCACTGAGAAGCTTCAGATTTAGCAGAGAAGAGTGGAATAAGGCTGTGGTTTAGAGGAGGTTAATCTAGGTAAACACCAGAACTGAATGAAGCCTTTGCTTTTTGAAAAAATAGGCACAAGGAACCTAAAAAAGAAAGACAGCATTATGGAATTGAACAGAGATGGGCTTTTAGCAGGGAACAGGCATTACGCAGTGCTGAGCCTGCCCAGATTCTGCAATCCCAACAGCCAAATCCCAAAGCTATGGCTGGATAAATGGAGACCTGAAGAACTGGAGATAAGGGACTGGATCAGCAGGAGAGCGAGCAGATGAAGCTCTCTCAGAGTTGGTGTTACAGAGAGATTTAGTACTGGAAAGAAATTACACAGGCCACTGAAACAGCCCAGGTTTCCTGCCAGATACTGCCTTCATTTTGCAGGCACTTTTACTTTTCAAGCTTTCAGTGATGCATCCTGTCAGCATGAACAAAGCCAGGTCTTCTCCAGTGTTCTCTCAGAGCAACTGTGCCAGAGCTACCATCCATCTCAAAAGATAGCACTCAGCTTGGCAACTACGCAGGAACTGCAGTTACAAGCCTTTTAAGAGTCAATCAGGAACACCTGATTTCAACCAACTTTTAAATATTTGGCCCATCATCATTAATTAAGTTTAGGTTTTAAACAAAGGACTTCACTGGATTAGCTCCCTTGAGCAGGTTGAGTGAAAACCCCACACACTTACTGCATGATTTCTACACAACTACCCTGATCCCCAGAAAGTTAAACATGCCCACAGAGGTGTCCATAGTGCTCAGCGATTAAGTCTCATCTTATTTCATTAGAGCCCACCTAAATACACAACTGAAGTTCTACAGTGTAACAGAGAGGGGATCAATTTTCTTGAATAGTAATCATATAAGATCAGCACGCTTGAGTGGATAAAAGCTCCTTTCCTAACATTTACTTAAGCTCAAAATCCATCGATAACAAAAAATATGAAATTACACCTTGATGATTCACAGACAGCCACCTGATAGAAGTCACATGGGACAATTTAAAATGGAGATAAGTCCCTTGGCAAAAACACATTAATTCATGTAAATACAATGCTATCTGTGCTTATATACGCTAGTTCTGTCCTAAAAACGTACATATTTATACACAAATTTCAAAGACTAAAAACTGTTATACAGCTTATATGAAAATGCCTTTCTGAAGAAGGGCTCTCAGAGTTGAAGCAGTTACAAACTGGTAAAACTGAAATCATAGATTGATTGTGTAGAACATACCAACGCAGACTTTGTCTTGTCGATGCGTTAAAAGCCCCAAATTTCACTAACAATCTCATTTTAGTATAACGTATTTAAAAAGATAGCAATTGTAGTTTGCCAGTTTGCTCTGATACGAATGCAGACTCGTCTCATCCCAGGTAGCTCAATACAGTGGCAGGATGGAAAAGGAGACTGAAAGATTAAGGCTTTCAGTGATTTATGAATATAAAGTGCCATTGACACATTCAGCAGGTTAATTAATTGTCAGGTGTCTTGTTCCCTAGTCTCATGGGGACAGATTAATGTTCATTATTCAAAACTGAGACAATCCAGTAACAGTTCAAGGGGGGGGTCACACTTCAAACTGAGCCAACTTCAAAATATAGTTGCCCCTGGGGGTGAAATTAGCCTTCATCTCCACAAAGAGCTGCTAATTAAAAAAGCCCAGTTTAGCTTCACAAACAAAGATTAAAAGGTTTGGAAAAAAGCACATGCTTCAAAACCAACTTTCGAGAACAGCAGCCCCTCTTAAGAAAGAAGAGCTGCAAGTCTTGCCAGGAACACTGAATTATTGCTATTCTCAGCTTGAAGCGCAAAGACAGGGAAGCTGAAATCACTATTTCCAGACCCATTTCATTCCCCCCCCCAAAAAAAAAATTGTGACTTGTGGTCAAAGCTAACTTAATCCTGCCCATTCCCCCACAAAAGTCTGCAAGAATCCCTGAATAAACAGAGCTCAGAGTAACTGTACTGTTTCGGCTGATAAACAGAAGCCCATGCCAGATTCCCAGTTGTTCCCCCTCCACTAAACCCTTGGTATTTCAGGTCCCTTTTTCCCTCCCTCAAAAGGGCATTATCCATCCTGCTCGAGAGCGCATGCTTGTTCCCATGAATATCAGAAGCAACCTCTGATCGCTTCCCTCCTAAACCTAATTTCTGAACAGAAATAGAAAAATGTGAGAAACATTGAGTGCATTGGAATGCTTGCTTGTGCAGCAGGCCAAAACCATCATACAGCTTTACCCTAGACTAAGGCCTTACCTTGTTAGTTTGCACTTCTGTTCAAGACATCCCTTTCTCAAATGGCCTGTTAGGACTTGAAGCGCTGGGCACTATGCTGTACAGGCCATATGGCCCTACGGGTGCCCTCGGCCTTTCTAAGCTCACGGTCATGCCGATAAGGCCATGCACACATACGGCCACCCCTCTCGCCCTGCTGAGATCTCGCCACAGGCACACTGCTCCTGCCCTACCTGTTGTCATTGAGCTGCGTGTAGCGGGGCTGTGGGTCTGGGTCCTTATCATTGACATCATAGCTGGCATCTGGGTCCTACGGATACGAAGAAGGTTAGCTCTGCGATGTAATCATTTTTAACTTACGATTTTAAAATGTAATGCAAGCAAACACCACAGTGTCCAGGATCAGGATATTGGCTTTATTCATTTTGCCGTTTCTTCCTACAAGGGTAGTTCCTATTGCTGCATGTCTCGGCCACAGCAGCTTCCCATCTGGTGTGCTGTGGAACAGCAGCAGGGATTTTGGGAAAGGTCTCGCACAATCTCAAGAACAACCAAGGATCTGTTTTTGTGGCGTAACCAGAGTGCTGCGTTGCACATTGGGTGTATAGACTGTATATTACAAGATCGAAAACATGGGAACGGCGTGGTCACGAGTAAATGTTTTTACTCGTCTGACAGTTAAAAAAAAAAACAGTAAAAAAGTCTGACAGACAAAGAAAAATAGAGATCAATAGAGAGCAGTTGAGCAAGAGATCCGTGCGTCACCGTCATCAATTCCTGTCAGGTTAAGACGGCTAAACACTCCCGAGACGTTCTCTGATTAAACGCCAAGATAGGTTTTGTTTACAATATTAATAACGTGCTCACGCCACAGATGTGCTGCACAGTTTATGTATTTATACAAGTGCGCCTGGGATGGAAAAGCTTGAGTCACTGGTCAATAGTTTAGATGTGAAAATATTGTTACAGCTTTAGGTGACTAGGAAGAGTTTAAAGCGTGGGACACCTGGCAGTGTAAACACTCCAAGAGAGGAGATCCCTGATCAAAAACAATTGTTTTTTTTTTAGGGAATTTGGGTTTCCTGGGTAAAAGATACCTCAGATAGAAACATCTTTCCTTCTTGTGGGAGCATTTTTAGAACAGGGAGATAGGCTCCCATTCATTTCGTGGCATCAGCGTTTGCATAGTGAGAGACTGAACTGTAGATTGTATTTCATTTAGAAAGCAGCTCCTCTCATTTGGCCTCTGTAGGCATTACTTTAAAGCGTAAGACTTAGAAGTCTGGGGTTTTTCTGGATAAGGATGTTAGGCCTCTAAAATGCCTTGTCTGGACATATTGTAAAAATGGTAACTTGTGTGTTGCATGTTTTGTTGTGTAGTGTGTGTCTTGTCCTTGTTAATAACCATTTGTTTAACCAAGTGTGCCTGGATTATTACCCTTTTCAACAAAGCTGTGCCAGAGAACAAATAGTTCACGTGCCTCTAATTATACGAACCTCACTGGTATATTCTAGAGAAATCACTTTCAAGCTGGGGGTTATGAATAATTTTAATTATTGACTGAACCGTTTGGTCAGTTCCTGATTTTCTCCATTTTCGTAGTTGTAACAACATTGTCCCCGAGAACCATGAACCCCAAAGTTCAATTTCAGGCAAGGGGAGGTACTCACATAGTTCTGGATCAGATCAGGATGGTTCTTCTCAATCCCATCATCCAGGATGGACACCACAACACCCTTCCCTGTATAGCCCTGCTCCCAGGCTCCTCTGGCATTCAGGTCTCTATGGTTCACATTATACTAGAAAGCAAAAACAACAAAAAAATGCATTTGACGCTTGTGCTAAAAAGCAGCTGGTGCTAACTGAATTGTATTTTTACTAACAGATTGACTGTCCTCTCACCAGATGCAATCGTTAAGACTATAATCTGGTTTTCCATTCAGGTTTAACAATATGCAGCGGATACAACACGCTTAGAAAGACAAAAGATTCAGAAAACAGGCATGAAAATGTCAACCGATTACAATTTCTCTGCCTTTTGGTCCTTTACGAAAACAGGACTGCTCCTAGTCAGTCTGCTCTGTCTCAGAACAATAAATTCAACCCGACAGCCTTCGTTTTCTATAAAGTAAACCACCAATGTCTCCACTCGCAACTTAGCCATGTGGTATTAATTTGCTTCTTGCAGCGATGGCATGTGTAAAGGTGTTGCACATACAGATCACGATTCCGAGAAGCGAGGTAACTGAAGGGGTGCCCTGCCTTGGCTGGTCACACCTGGAACACGCACAGCTCATATGCGCAGGAGCTCTGACCTTCATCTGGACTTCGGCAATGCAGACACTACCTTCGCGCCAGGTCCTGCAGAGATGTGATCTCTACCCACCCACCCCTCCAGCCTTCAGGCCGGTACCACAGCTAGCTTGACTGCCAAGCCTACTTGAGCAGAAAATTGAATTTATTCACAGCCTTGCGTGACAAGCACAGCCCCGGTTCCAGAGCCCCGAGACAACAATCTGGTCACTCATCATATTCTGGGGGTCCCACACCTCCAAAATCAGGATTTGCGAAACTGTGTGTACAGAACACCAGCTGCCTATTCCTAAGCAACAACCAGGTATCCCCCTACGTGCCCATTTACAGAATCACAGCACATCCTGCAAAAACAGGCGAAGGGAGACATTAGATTGCTGTTGTCGACCTTTGGTCAAATATTCCTCGCTGCAGTCTGAAAAACAGAGGTGTAATTTTTCACAAAACCAGCCAATATGACTGAGTTTTGACAGGACCACTTCAATCCCCCCCCATTTCTTTTACTTTTGAACATCCGCCCATGCTAATGAGGAGGGTGCAGGCTTGTATGAAGGGATGAAAAAACATCATCTCGTATAGTACGACACAAGAAGAAGCCTATTTTTCCAGGGGCTGAAGACGATCTTGCAATTATTGTTGATCCGCTGTCGGAATTTATGGCTTGTGTTGCTGTACAAGTCTTTTGCATGCTGAAAAATGATTAGTTCCAGTTTCATGCGATCAGCTCAGTGTGCAGCGCAAGCATGACAGAAATTCTGGGGTCGAACATCAGTGTTCATATAGAATGGCTGAAAACACCTGTGAAAGAGGCTATAGCTGCGTTTGCTAGAAAACTGATTTTTCTTTAGCAGAAATATAAAATATAAAATAGATTCTTCAGCTGGGTAAGGCCAGTCTATCCCCAGTACCCTTATTCAACCACAGCTGCCATACTCCCCATGCAACACTCACTTTCTGATTGGGTCCTGAGATATGATCTAAAATATGAACACATGAATTAACGGGGGACATGGGAGGCACATTTTTTCAGAATTTAACCAGCTGAAACACTAAATCTAAGGAGGCGTTTTTATAGGGAGAAAAGGTAATGCACCAAACATGATTATACTGACTTCCTATGCAAAACTGTCATCCTGCATACAACTGAACCTAAAGACATTTCAGAGTTAATGACAAGCTGGGACTTACCTAACCCATCTTAATCACGCTCCCCTAGTACACAAATTAGCTAAACCGCTATAGAAGTGGTGAACTTTCCCAAAATAGACAGCAAGGCTGTAAATTTTACTCAATCTCACTCAACAGCTCAGACAGAAGCTGCTGCAGTGCCTCTTCTGCTCTGTAATGTAAAGAGCACTTTTACACTCCAGTGCACAGCAGCCCCAGGCCAAGGTGACACCTCGACAAGAACTGATCCCGGAAACGACAAAAAAATCGGATCAGCTTAAGCCACCGGCTTGAGCATTTTCTGAAATAATAATACACAATCAATCCCAGTAAACTCGGCTGGGTAGTACCGCAGTAACTCCAGAAGGGAAAGTTTTTCAAGAAGCCTTTGAAGGACAATACTTTAACTCACTTAAAAGCAAATGTTACATGTTTTCAAGGTTAATTAAGATCCACCAAAAAAAACAAAGCCTTCCTTAATTCCTTAATATGACAAGCACAAAAACAGAACATATTTGGTTATTCTGATCAAAGGAGGAAATAATTTTGTTTGGATTTAAATGCAAAAGCAAAAGTGTCAACTCAGATCAACGTGTATGAATTCACTTCCCTGTTGCATAATTTATACTGTAATCCCAACAAATTCAGTGAAGCGTTCCGGAGCAAATATCAGTTTCAAGGAGCCGAGAAAGGTTGGTTTTCTGTGTGCAAAGCAGACAAATCACTCCCTCTCACAGGGATAAGAAAGAAAAGTTTTCGAAAGATGACATGACCCTCCTTAAAGCAGTTTACACTCACCTACAACCTTCGCTGGCAGTAGGCCTAAACATTTGCAGCAAAGCTAGTCTATAATGTATATTCTAAAGTAATAAAATGGATATAAGTGGATCTATTTGAGCAGCACACATTTTGCCTCCAACAATTACCTTTTATCAGAAAACTCCTAAATCGGCTCCCCAATTGGGAGGGACCGCAGAGAGAATATGCTTTTACTCACCAGGTACCACTGCTGGGGAAATCTGGGGTCTGATAGCTCACTGTAAATATCTCTCTTCTTCCGTCGTTTCACCACCTGTTGCTCTGCCCATTTCACCTGTGAGGGGGGAGATAAAAATATATTCAGTGATGGAAGCAGAAATCTCACAGCAAGCTCTTAAAATGCAACCACAAAACCACTTCACATTGTCCAGCCTCGGCCCCATTTGGAAGACCCATTGAAACCCCCTACTGTGCAACAGAAAGAGTGCATACAGACATGGCTGCTTTAGAACAGCTTTCACTACTATTACACTCATGGGAGGTGGAAAAATGATTTCTACGAGGCTGTGGTCAAACAAAAACAAGGCTTCTTGTCCATGTCAGGCAGAACAAGGAAGGCTGTACCACTCCTCAAGAACCTTCATCTACTGATAAGCTTGTCAGCCTAAGGACCACGGGTGGATGGGTTAAATGTCCCACCTTCCTCAAACTGTTGTACCAACACACGGCTCTAGAGGAGGCAAGTGGGACCAAGATGCAGAGGGCTGGTCAGACTGGACAGCTCTGTCCTGTCTGTGTCCGTGGACCAGGGCATCTGTGCCCTAAAGATCACCCCTGCACCACCGTGTCCTAAGGAGATGCCGAGGGGGGAGTGCCTACTTCTTCCATCAAGGCAGGGCTGTGGCACACCGATGAAGGAGAAGAGGACTGGAAGCCAACAAGTGATGCCATTCTGGAACTGCTCCGCGTTCCGAGCACCTGAACAAAATAACTCTCCAATGGGAGAAGCGATGCTCAATGGTGGCAGCATGTCACAACTTGAAACGTAAAATATAAATCTAGACATCTGGGGGAAGAAATAGGATTTGGCCATGTGCACCAATTTCTTTCTACGGATATGAAAATCTCTTGACCGTACTGTGCACTCTCTCCAAACATCTCTTCCCCTACCACCGAAGGGAATCCCTGTAACAAACTGGGCTGCTGTTTTACAGTACAGCTGCACACAGACGTTGCTTCTGTAGAGCACCTTCGTAGAAGCAGATGTAGATTTCAAATTAGAAAAAAAAAATAAAAACTGAGAATAGCGGTTTAGGCGGTTTGTTACAAGTATTTGGCAGGGTCTGAATAATCCACAAGTAAATCTATCATCTGTGAGACATTTACTTTCTTCCCCTGAACTGGCAATTTAAGAGCAAAGTGCAGCTGGCAGCCTTCAAGCGGCTGGTCATACCATATTAAAGAGATCGGCTCTGGAAATCAGGAGCAACATATTAAATTTGGAAATCGTGTAACATTAAAGCTGTTATTAATTTTGCTGAACATTGTGTGCTGCCTGCCAATTCCTTTCTCAAGTTCAGTCTTGGCTATAACGGAGATTGGACAGAGATGACAAAAATCCAGGGTCAGGCTCTGCTTCCACTCACTCAAGATCCACAAGGCAATCTGATCACATTCTCCTAGACTCCAGAGGCTGTTTGCTGGGAGAGAACATTTAAAACGTTTCTCACCTCACAACTCAAGGATTCCGAGAAACTGCACAATCTTTTACTTAACCTTTGCATTAAGTTTTTTTTTTTCCTTTGTAGGCTCCATGCAGAGTAGTGTAGGTGGCTGACAAACAACGCTAACCTGTGTTTGACAACTTAGCCAAAAGGATGGAACAGCTGAACTAAGGGAAAACGTACAGGAGCTCCTGAATGGCTCAATCAGTAAAGGTAGTTAAGCAGCAGGCCGAGCTCTATGATCCACATGTCACGATGGCCCCAGGACACATCACTGGTGACTATTGACCAGGATTCCCCTAAGAGGCGGTGTACCATTGTCTCTTGGGGCAATCCTGATCAATAGCAACGGGTGACTGGACTGGTATGGATTAGCCAGCCAGGATTCTCTTAGCTCTGGGCTTTCCAGACACCTGCAGGCTTGAGGCCTCTATGAAGGAGGCTTCTGCAATCGGCACTAACCTACATGAAGCTGCTGTGGAGAACGCAGAGTACCGAAAGTGAGGTGGGTCGCAGAAGAAGGTCAGACCTTCCTTTTTTTTTTATTTCTGTCCAGCTGAGATGTAGAACAATTGCAAACCAAATTGGGTGGATATATAATTTAAAAAAATGGGGATTCTAAATTTAAAAAAAAGCAATCCATTGCTCATAAAGTTTAGCAACCCTACCCTTTTTTTATTTTGCTTTACTGACCTGAAAAACGTAACATACTTTGAAACAGAAAGACAGACCCTTCTAATTGTCTAGTTCCAGAGACTAATTTTGTTCCTGCAAACAAGGCATTAACATCCTTCTGTACACGACTTTACAATCTTGTCTCAGACTATCTTGTTCAGCCTTGCAAATGAGCTGATTTGTCACTCTGCATTCTCTGTGCAGTCTACATGTGTCCCCATTAGGCAACTCTCTCACCAGATTTTCTTCTGATCTCAATAAACACAATTATCTCCTTGGGACCTTGCAGAGTTCAGTGAGTTATTGTATGTTTCCCTGACAAAATGCCTTCATAATGCTTAATGCTGCCAAGATGCCTGAGAATACCTGAAAATAATGCTGAACATGAGTAAACTCAGAGCATTGACACCTAGCAGGGCCAAAATAAAAATATTCTTCATAACGAAGATATTAATGCAAACACCAGAGCATCAATTATTAAAAATGCAACCTTTGAGAGGCACACCTTTATGAAGCATCTAGACAAATCTGAAATGTGCATTTCTCTGTAAAGGTGTTTCTCCCTCCCAGTAATAGAGAGACACTTTCAAGCACTGGGGGGGAGAAATTAAAATGCATTAATTGCAAAACTAAAAGTCAATGAAATATGTAGAGTGAACAAATCCCTGGGCCCTGTTAGAAAAAGAGCCATGCTTGCAACACTGTCAATCATCTGTGCCAACTCATCAGAAAGCCTGTCTCTCTCTACTCTAGTACAGGAGGACAGACTCTGACACACTCGCAGACCTGATGGGATTTCAACCTTCTTAAGCAGAGATGATCCCCTTGTTCAAGCTGGGCTGTTAATTCAGTCCAGGGGGAAAAAAAAAAAACAATGACCGTCTGTTTTCTCCACAAACACACCTGAAACCCCTTCCAAAATAGCACATGTACACTTTAAACATGTTTCTATTCCCCCATTTGCGAGAATCTTGTACTGACGCTCGTACCATTTTTAATCTTGTTAAAATATTATCCCACATTGAACCACACCAGCCCCAAAAGAAGTTGTTTTGGCATTTTATATTTGAAAAAAATTGTTTGCTGGGTCTCACAGTGCCAGTTGCTCCAGAGTTACTATATTTGTGGGGACAGTCAAATTTAGATTTCAAGTTGATAGTGATGCACACACACTAACCAATTTCTCAGATTATCCACAGTAAGACCAGGATCATCATGACCCGAGCCAGGGCTACTTAACCCGCCCTGTCCTGCAAATCCTAACCATTTTATTACACCTCCTGTCATCCAAAACAAAAAAACATAACCTTTGTTTTCACCTGTATGAGTTCTCTAACCACGTCTCTCCAGGGATCACAGATGAACAATAGTGAAATAAAAGGGTGCGCAGCAGTTAGATTTTTTTGGTCTTTAAATATACACAGTTACATAATGGATCGAGAATGTGCTGGGCTCAAGGCAGCTGGGTTGGATCAAGGTGATTAAATGGAGCTCAAGAAGATTGTCACGGAGGCAGATCAGCATTTATCGTTTATAAAGGGTGGGGGAAGGGAGGTTCAGGCCAACAGCTCCCTCCTAAGGCCTACCCTCCAGGTCCTCGTAGGCAATTGGCACAAGCCATCTGTCCCACTGTTCCCAGCAAAAGAACAGAGTCAGCAGGAAGAAAGGAAAAGCTGGAGGCGTGTCTAGGAATACAGAAAATTCCCACACTGTTCCTACTTCTAGAGAACATTTTAGAACTTGTATTCTTCAGCATGGGTGAAGAGGACTTTGGAACCTTCCCCCCCCCCAGTCACAGCCTTTACTAATTTAGTTGACGCACCAGTATAAACATTTTTGACGCTGTATGAAATGGTACAACTACATGCCTGTAATGGAGCATGTAATACACAGGATATCTCAGAAAGATAATGTCCAGATTGAACGTTTAAAAACATAAGAATGAATTCCAGACTTATTTGCAAAGCTTCTCTAGTCAGTGAAAGATCAGTTCAGGCTTAGACTTCAAGGTCAGCACTTTGCATTTCAGTAGGTTTATTTTTCCTGTGAGATCACAGTTCTCACAGCATTGAAATCTGCTTGGAGCAGGAGGTACCTCTACCCTAAGGAATATGGGACCAATTCCCTTACTTCTGAATGGGATACTCGGATTAACTACTATCAAATGGGACAGATGGGCAAAATGGCCTCCTCTCATTTGTAATTAAAGTCTTATGAAAGGGGGACGTGTCAATGGTCCACACAGTTCTTGTCATGCCAATACACAGTTAGTGTCATTTCTAAATAAACTAACTGTACATCAATTCTGGAACAACAGCTTGAAACAATCACAATTACCTATATTTAACATGTTTACTGATTTTAAGGGAGGGAGGGTATTAGAAGATAGAGGAATTGTGTAACACTTTATGCTTCCCAACATGTTTTGAAGCCTGAGGCAAAATGGTAGTTTAGTGTGAATCCAAAAAAATAAACATCTGCTCCACACAACCAAAAACAAGTTAAGAACACTGATGCAAGAAGGGTTTATTTCAATATGAAAGGAACACAGCTGCGGAAAAAGGAGACTGCGTGCAGAATTTAAAACACCCAAAACAAATGTAAGGTAGGCTCGATAGAATAGAAGAGACCCCACATGAGATCTATAAATGGAACATGAAGTTGGTGATTAGAAAAGCTTCAGTTTGCAATACAGCCTCTTGACATGTTTGAGTTGGTCGATAAGCGAGTTTGTGGTTCCAAGACTGCTGAATATTCGCTCCCTTCCCCCAGCATTGCAGCTCGGCTGCATCCACAGCTGAGCAACCCTCAGGTGCAGGTTTGACAGCCGAGACCACAACCAAATCATTGTGTGCTCGCTAAACTGCACAGCCTACAAAAACAGGTTTACTACTTCATCTTTAATTGAGTACCTTCTAACTCTCTGATCAAGGAATCTGTTCTTGCACAATGAGGTATCATCAGCAGCCTGGCGTCGTCATGCTTCGATTCACACTGTAAGGCAAAATGATTTGCTCAACTTGTTGCTAGACGAGCACATAACAGTTTCGCTCATTTTTGTTTCAGTCTACAAAGGTTTGACCTTTCGCAACCAGAAACCAGGCTGTTTGAAGCTGGGAGGGTCCTCTCTCTGTCTGTCTGTCTGTGGTGTTCTGGGAGCCAAGGAATTCAACAACAGGAAGCTGAGCTGCAGCTCAAACGGAAATCCCATCCAGAGACAAGCTCAAAGAGAGAGAGCAGGGAGAGATGAGGACAGATTGATGTGGGGGTGGAAGTTACAGGCTTGTGTTTCCCCCCCCCCCCATCTTGTTTTTGTTTTGCACCTGTTATAAATAAAATATCCCTCCGTCCACAAACTCCCTTATCCATCAGAGAACCATGCGTCTTTACCACCATCTACTCCACAACACAGGCCTGTGAACAACCTGAAAATATGCCGGGGAAACCAAACCACAGCGACTTCCACAGCTGCACGTCTGGGTTGCAGACGCCGACAGCAAGCTCATCTGGAACGAGCGCGAGCACTGCCTGCCGTGACAGAACGGCTTTTTAAAAGGCTGTCAGATCACGGAAGGGCTTCTGAGCCGAGCACAGACTCAACTTTATCTAACACGCCGCAGCCCAGGGCTTCAACACTAGAAGGCATTTCTCTCCCTTTCGAGTGCTGCAGAGTTATTTAAGAGGAGCTCTCAGAGCTGCCAAGCGCAAATGGTGATGCCTAATGAATTCCCTTTCAGAGCAGACGGATGGGTCCCGAGGTGGAAAGCAATATCCGCAGCTTCCGAGAGGGCACCCCACCGAGGCCCCGGGTGGGCTTTAATGAGCCCAGGACTGTGAAAAACGCAAGCCCTTATAGGGTCATTATTCAAACTCCTCATCACTCGTCTGTGTTAGACAACAAAGGTGACACAATCTTCAATTGCAGTCAAGCCCTGCTAACATGATACTGTAGCTACCCTTCTTCCAGTCAAACTGCAAAGCACCACAACTTTTCAAGCTGAAAAAGAGATTTTTACTTCCCTCTTTGTCAAACAAGTTAAAACGCAGTCATTAGCATATCCCATTCCTCAATTATGCGGAGCTTAAAATGGCTGTTTTTTAGACGGCTCAATGCCCACACAGCGTTGTGTAATTGCTACCAGTGGAGGCGGCGCCATCATCAAAAAGTCAGAGGTGACTTCAGGACAGCATAAAGGCGCCCTAAAGGCAGTGCAAGAGCAGCTTGCACAAGAAGCAAGTCACTAGGCAACGTTCCAAGAGAAGCTAAACACCCTGAGAAAAAAGGAAGTCAACTTAAGAGCCTCCACTCAAAGAGGAACATGGACGCAAGCATCCAGGCATATTTGATTCTGCAGCTTACAGCTCACTGAAAGGTTGCATCAGCACATAACTCCAGCCCACCACTGTAAGTCACACGGACACCCTGTTAAACTTAGAATCTTTACGATCCTCTCTCTTATTTAAGAGCGCTAGATCGTCAGACTCCTGGACATCTTAAGGATTTGTGAAAGGAAAGTGCACGAGTATTATTGCCACAATTCATGGGCGTGATTCATTTCTAAAAGCTATGAATACATCTATACCCTGCCAACTATCTAAACTGGCTTCTCCATGACAGGTCATTGATCCCCAAAGAGTCTTTGGAGGTTTGCTGGAGACTGGAAGACCGTTGTCTATTAGGCAATGGAAACTTATCAATAGATAACTACTTAAAAAAAAATAAAGTACAGTTTATTAAATAAATTCAATTTATTATTATTTAAAGTGTCGTGTTAAATCATGGCTGACTACTTGGTCAATAAAGTTTCCATGCCACTGCTCAAAAAGAGAAGGGGTGTTTACTTTGACATTCTGGCTAAATTTCACTTGGGCCTTGAACAATCTAGCCTAATGTGCACACTTCATTTGTCAAGCTCCGTCTCCCTTCTCCACCCAGACTGCTGTGCAATGAAGCTGCTGGCACACAGTGACTACCACACATCACCCAGCTGGGTGCCTGCACTTCAATGACGCATGAGTCTGGAGCCCATTCCATAAATCGAAGGCTGTAGGTTCAAATCCTAAGTGGCACACTGCTGTTGTACCCTTGAGAAAGGTCCTTAATTCAAATTGCTTCAGTAAAATGCATGATCTGCATAAATGGGTGCAAATGTAGTTTGGCTTGCAACGGCAAAATAACTAAAGAATGAACAATTGAACAGGGACTGATGCCTAGAACACAGATGCTACAGCAGCTCTGAATTCCTAGTATAACTATATCCAATTATAAAGAACCCCCTTCAGTATAAGGATATACAGTACACAAGCAGAACGAGTGTGGCCACTACAAGATGATGCAAAGTGGAATGGAGTACTGCATCAACTTCTGCTTTTTAGTGACGAACCACAGAAAAAAAAACCTGAAAATAATTTAAAACCTTTGACGTCCGACTTGTGCTGTATTGCAGTATGTACTGTAACAGCCACCGTCACTGGAACTGAAACTGTAAGCCTGCCACTGTCTTTTCACACTGTCACACTGAAAGAACTGTCAGTCAGCCAAGGCATGCATTTTAACATTGTGCCCAGTTCCTTTTTATCAGTGAGTGACTTTGGCCACATCCACCAATAAATCTAGAAAGACAATATGTGTTTGGGTTTTAGCCAAGCAAACGCTTATGTCTTGACATTTTTTTAGGGGGGGAGTTTAATTACCTCAAAAGGAAATAAAAACATACCAAACAGCTTTGGGGGTTAAAATTAACAAAAAAAATGCTTATGTTGCAGCTTCTGTCAGAATTATTCATAACTACGATATGATAAATGACGGTGGAGCATGAGCACTTTTCTTGCTAAGAGTTTGCTCTGTGATGTTGCCACACAAATCACCCTCTCGGTCATTTCACCGGTGCATTTTTCTCCCACATTCTTGCTGAATCTCAAATTTGAACACATTTTTTTCCAAATTACAAAACAATGCACCTGTGTATCAAACACCATCATCATACCAGTATTGTGATGTTATTACAAACAGGCAAAGCCAACTGTGTAATTTAAATTCTGGGTAGTTTAAAGGATTTTCAGAAGCCAGATCAATCCAGGGATTGAGCTATAAATTCCCTTGCAACTCACAACTGGCAACCCACTGAAGCTCAGCAGGTGTGAGCCTGGCCAGTACCTGGATGGGAGACTCCTGGGAAAGCTAAGGCTGCTGCTGGAGGAGGTGTGGGTCCTAATGTCCTAGTATAGTGATGGTAAGACTAACTGTAAAAAAGACACCATCTTTCAAAACATTGTTACTCTGGTTTCCTGACCAAATTATTTGTGGCTTGTAAAAATAATCCCCATCTATGAACTGACTACTCTGCTCTCCTCCCCACTGAGAGCTGGTGTGTGGGGAGTGTTCTGGCGCACTATGGCTGCTGTCGCATCATCCAGGTGGGGCTGCACACTGGTGGGGGTGGAAGGAAGTCCCCATTACCTGTACAGTGCTTTGAGTGGAGCTATAGTGCTATATAAAAGTGTTAGGAATTATTATTACTACTACAAGGAAAGTACACCCTGGATTAAGGTCTTGCAATGGGAAGACAATGGCACCCTGCCTCTGGTTCAGAGCAACCTGGCTCCTCTCTCTACCTGAGGTTCCTTCTGCAGCCTCGCGTGTCTCGATCGGTGCTCCATCAGGGATCTCTTCACCACAGCGCGATGCTGGAAATGGTAATAATCTCCAAAGATCTAGAGAGAGAACAGAAACAAAATCCATGTCAAAGTCACACATTGGGTCAGGCATTGTGAAAATGAACTTCAGAGGTGGATAAAAAGCCAGCTCTTAAAAAAAAAGAATGTATGAACTATTGCAGACGGAACAAGCCGCCTTCTGCAAATAACCAATCTCTACTTCAGATTAATTACAAACCGCAAATCCTAACCATAGCCTGAACATTCACCCTACCCTCAGGGTTATCACCATGTTTGTGTCACTGCACTGAGTTTATTATATTCCATTCATACAGCCTCTACACTTGAAGTGCTACACATGCTGCTCGGTTGCGTTTGGAGCTAGCATGAGATGAAAGCAACAGCTTTGCAGCACAACATATCTTTATTACTGCTTGCACATGAGCAGAATTTATTACCGACGACAAACAGATGGGCTTCTCAGGACGTGGACGGGCCAACAGTGTCAAACTGCTGTATGGGAGCGAGGCGTCAGTGCACGATATCGAACAGGAAGAGCGCATGCCCAAAGCGATCGACGATCGCCCAGCGACATCCAAACCCACCAATGCATCCGTGCGAGAATATCCCAGGTGAGTGAGAGATCTGCCACCTGTCTCTCGCGTCTTTTCAAGGGGTCACGTCATCACAGGCAGGAAATAATATAAGCTCACTTAAGGAGAGCAATAAGCTCTTGACAATTCTGGCCACCGGATCCCAGATAAGGAGGAGAGATACATTTTACAGAAAATAAGGGCAAAAAGAAAACATTATTTTAGACCATGGTGGTGCTCACAGGGGTAAGACTGAAATGCCCCCATCTGGGTAAAATCCACTCAAAATTCTCCTTTGTGGCGCAACCCTCCTGCCCACTTGCTAACACTGAACCGTTCCTAACACCCGGTGAGCAGTTGCGATATCTGATGTGCAGAGGCAAGGCTCTGTGGTTTGCCGGTTAATCGGCAGCGGGTTAGTGACGGGAGCTCCGCCCAGCCCCCGCGGTGGGGACAGTAGAAACGCTTGCCGTTAATAACGGTGTCATCTGGCCCATTACTCATGCCGCCACTCCTCGCTTGGGGGGGAGCTCCCCTGAAAAAGACAATAACTCTCTCGGACCAACGGGACTTCATTATCCCGACTCTCTTGTCCACGCTCTGCAGAGAAAGGACTGCAGGACATCAGCCTGCCTGCACTGCTCACACAGCTGCCAGCCCGAACACCTGACTGCCACAACACGCAGACCGGGGAGCAGGGAGCAGAGGTCACGGTACAGTAATGGAATGATGGATTGTCACTCATGGCCTTTTTCAAGCTTAATGTGGAAAGCAGTACAGAGTGGAGCCGTTAATTTCACACAAGTTATTTTTTTATTGAAAAATAAATTCTCTCCCGATCCGATTGTAATGGTTTATGACAGAAGCTCCTATTGTATTCTCTCCCCACCCCCTTACAAAATTGCCCACTTTGAAAGGGAGTCAAAAACCAGCCTGACCACTTACACACACACACACACACACCTCTCCCTGGGGGAGATGCACATGATTGGCCACCTGTGCTGCTCATTGTACGCTCAAGGTTGGCTCAATGATTACAATTAACAAGACGATATAATTAAAAGTGGCCTCCTTTGAGATTGGGTCTTTTTATACATCTACGACTCAAAGGAAGGAAAAAAAATAAATTAGTTATTTGAACACGTTTAATGTTTGTATGTATTAATTGGCTTTAATTGACTTAATTCTACATGGAGGTTTGATGAAACACAGCAGTCCCAGGGTGGGAAAATTAATTTTTTGTCTAAAAACACGCCACAGGGGTGCTTATATGAGTTCCATCACCTTGGTCCATTATTAATCCTCCCCCCCACCCCACTAAAATGAGCTGGCTGTCCTCAGGAGCACATTGCTGAGAGCCCCATCACCATCACTACCTCTCTCAGGTAGGGTTTTTGTATCAAAGTGCGAACTACTGCCCCTGCATAACCCTGGATTTAAAAATTAGTGTTGCTTGCTTCAGATTTCACCCGATATAAATAGATTTATATCGTACATGAATTTTTCATAAACCCGAAGGTTGATTTTTGTGGATTCAAGTAAAAAAAAAAAGTGTAGCTCAAGACAGAAGTGTCAGACACCTGACATTTTTAACAATGGGTTGACTTGTTTAAAACATCTCTACAAGCATGTTGGAGCCCGTGATAATATTTATTCCTGGAGTGCCCCGAGGAGGAAATTCTGACCTTACAGAAGAGATCCACATTAGAGGAGTACTGCAGAATGAAAGTCACACTAACAGGGCTCCAGTCCAGAAACCCCACAGATGATTTGCCTTTGTCACCCATTCAGATCCTGTGAGGAGATGACAAGGCTTCATCTATAACAGTGTCTCATTTCTGAGTTTCAGTTAGTAGTTTCTTCTCCCCCCCCAACATCAAGTAAGTACTTTGAATCCCTTCACGTCGATCATTTTCAAGGACATAAAACACTGTTACCTCCTTCATGACGAAGTTATTGAAGAGACTGCATGTCTGACAATGCCTGTCAAAAAATTAGAACCCTTTTAATCCTCTGAAGTCGGTGCCAAAGTAAGCACTTTTTTTTTTTAGCTGCACTCCCAGTAAGAACAGAGTATTATAACACAGCAAAGCATCTCACAACTCAATTGAAACCTACTCCCAAAACTTAGGCTTAGGCTGGGTAAGTAAAGGTCCCATAGTGGGATTTCCCATAAGGATTATATGTTTTTTTTTTGTTGGTCTGCTGAGGTCTTAAGCAATGGAGAATAGATGTGAATGACAGAACCTTTTCTCCTACAGAGCTGACCCCAAACTCTGAAAAAAAGCCAAGTTTTATTATTTTACTGACACCTGAAGCCATCCTGAATATGTGACTGTACACTAGATTCATGTGAAGGCGATAGCATGCTGCCTGCTGCAGTCTTTCAAACGATGCATGCCATCAATTGCTCACAAACCAGTTATACAATGCAAATGTCTCAGCTCAGGGTGATGCATATCACAGAACAGCGTGAAACCAAGCCTATAGCTCTGAGTGAAGGTCCCTTCACATCCACTCTTGGAATGCCAGTACAGAGTCATTACAAGGGTACTGTATGCAAGTGCATGAATCAGCACAGAGAGGCGAAGTGGCGTTGGCCTCTCACCACCAAGATAACCGACAGATTGAGCTGCAGGGGCTCGCTCCAGGCAGTCTCCACATCGAGAGGAGAAAGCACCTCCTCCTTTCAGTTTTTTCCCCCAGATGCACAGATCTGACATGGCAAACAACACAAAGCACTGCCCCGCCTGCACCCACACAGCAGGCTTTCCCAAGGCTGTGATGGGACTAAACGGCAGCACTCCCTCCTGCTAATTAGAACAATTGCTAATTGGGAAGCTAGAGCAATGCCAATGGCCAAACAAAAGATCCTTCCTAACTCAAGATCTGCCTAAAAGAAAATGAGGCATTTCAGTCAAGAGCATCCAGACAGAACAGGAGAATACTCAATGACAGAGGCCTGTGCCACATCCAAACCCATCAAACAGATTTGGTATTATAAAGGTTTTCTACATATCTGATAGGATAAATATAGCCAATGTGAGTTGACCGGTATTCAGGGCCCCTTTAGAAACCCGACATGTCCATCCAGCAACAAAGACCTCAGTCCAACAGAGGCTGGTTTATTGATCCTACACTATACCCCTCAGTGCTAATGATGGAATCTGTCAAAATAAACTCACTCACAGTGTCATGTAACCGATATGAAGTGGCACTCAAGGAAAAAGAAACGAAGAGGGAAAACAGATCCTAACATAAATGAGAATGGCTCATAGTCAGACCAGACATGAGCTTCCATCTGAGGCTTCCCCATACATCATACAAGTAACAAACCTGAAGGATTCAGATGAAGACTCGAATGACTTACTAATGTGTTGCCAGTAGGGAAACTGGGCTATTTTGTCTGAACTCTCCACTGCCGTCAAGGAACGTTCAGATTTCTCCAGTATCTAACTTGGTATCTAGTTTAGGGAAAACACTACAGATAATAATAAAAGGACAGTGATCAGCAATATACAGAGGACATGAATAAAACGGCTAAAAAAAGTTATTGCACAACCTAGATTATGCTTCCTCACAGTTCCAGCTGGATGCAGCAAGATGCTGGTCCACTGTCTATGCGTTGGTCTAATTTATTTTTCCGCAATAAATGCCCAGAAAAAAGACCTAACCCATTCCCATTCCCGGGAAGTTAAAAACGAAGCTGTGTCCTATTGACGAAGGGGATTTCATCCCTCTGGCTGCTCTCCTTCACTTAATCATATGTAAACAGGCAGGATTAAGGCACATTGACACAAATGACCTTTCCTGTACAAAAGGGAGAAGAGAAAAGAAAGAACCCTTGGGAGAAGAGATTTTCCTCTCGCACAATGAGGTGCCTTACACAGCGGACTGCAGAATCCTCCACTCGGAGGCACGCAGTGGATTTTCAGACATGGCTTGAAGAATAAAAGAAAACGCTGAAAAGAAAAATGAAATGCTGACATTTAGTGCTGAAAATGTGAGCAGCTCCAGAGTAGCTATTGTTTGGAACAAAAAGGAGGAAGAAGAAAAACTTGTTGCTTTGTGTGGTGTGAGATAAGAGGCTATAAAAAGGGGAAAAAACTGATGATCTGGGACAAACTGGGCACAGGATGCGGAAGGGAACACCGACCAGCAAACGAGCTGCTGCTTGAGGCTGTCATTTCTGGAAACAGCACAAACAGGTGCCAACAGACAGCACACTTTAAAGCCAGTAACCTTAAAGAGCAATGCCCTGATACAGGCCACCGTCTCGTCATCCCCTTATTACTAACACAAGAGAAGGGAAAACAATTTAGGTTGGTGCGGAGTATTTACTGCTGCTACATCAAGCGGATATTTTTCCCTGTCAGCTGGAGCCAGAGTTAGGAGGGTGTGACAATGTTTGGGTTCCTATCCAGATTATTTCTGTTTAATGTTGTTGTTTTTCAAAAGCACGGC